CTGGGGCCTGCATGTCCTCTGCCTGCACTGTCATAGAAGCGGCATCAGAAGTGCAGGACACCTCGGCATTTCCGGACCAGCCTCTTCCCTCCCTTCTGTCGCCTTAGGTCCAGAAAGGAGTTGCACAACACCCTGCTCCCACACCCAGCAGGGAGCTGAGTCACCGCCCACAGTGCACAGGGAGCTGTGATTCCCTTGGCTCGCCCTGATCCCTGCTCCTGCCTGTGCAGCTGACTTGACTCTGCCCCGGCGCCCAGCCCAGGAACACGCCCGGGAGCACTCCGCTGTCACTCTAAGCTGGGTGTTTCTTTCTCCTCCTCCCCAGGACCCGAGCATCCAGGAGAGTAAGAAAGGGGAAAAGAGGTGAGTGCAGAGAAATGAAGTCCAAAAACCATTTACAGTCGCCACATGCAGGACGAGCTCCACAGCAGGACTCTGCCAAGGGTCGCATACAGTCCCCTCTAAACCACAGGTGTGAGCCAGATCAAAAGCCATATGCCCTGCACTGCAGTGAAACAAACAGGGAACATGTCTGCTTGGCTCCACCAGCCCATCTGTGGGTCCCAGTCCAGAGTCACGAGGGGAGAGACTTATAGGACACTGAGACACAGGCAGCCTGGGCTGGGTTTGTCCTTTATCCTGGTCTTCTCAGGCACTGCGGACCCTAACTACCCAAGGGCTGAGGGCACCTGGGGTCTGACCCTGTGTGACCTTCACACTGGGTTTCAGGAGAAGTCCACATGAGGAGCCCTGGACTGTGGACAGGGGCCTGTAGATTTGGCCAACAACTCCCAACACTCCTGTGGTCTGCACATCGTGGCTGGGTTCTGCTCCATCCCACACATGAACTCAGCTTGCCAGGACCCTGGGCCTGAGCCACGGTGGCAACAGTGCCCAGCAGTTTTGGATTCAGATCTCCACACCAACCATGTATAGGAGGCTGTGGTAGATTGACAACTGGTGGTCAATTTGTAACATTCAGCTGAACTGAATCAGCCTGGTGCTGGCTATGTAAGGCCTGAGGATTGTTGCTGGCCGCATACGAGGCAGAACTGGAGAAGAAGAAGAAGGCTGTTGGGAGCTGTTGTTTCTCCTGGAGGAGCTTGTCATGGTGACTTTTCTGATATGATGAGGCTGTTCTCACTGTTGAAGGAGCTCGGGACCTGGTTGTCACTGAGAATGGCTATGGTTCACTTTAGGGGAGCTCTGGTCCTTCCTTTGAGCATTGCTTCCTGGCTCTGGAGGGGAAGATGGTGCACTGTTCAATGTCTTGGAGAAGTTTGTTGTACTGGCTTTCTTGATATGGAATTGACTGTTGTCATTATTGGAGGAGCTTGGGGATGTTGGTGAGAATAGCTGTGGTACTTTCCAGGGGAGCTCTGGTTTTTACTTTGAGTGTTGTTTCCTCCAATGCAGACCCCTCAGCCTGCTAGCACAGATCCTTCATCCCACTGGCACAGACTTTCTAGATTCCACCCCTGATCTTTGGGCCTTCCCAGCACAAATCCATGAACCAGGTCTGCATGAGACATTGTCACGTGCTTTTGGCCTCCAGTTGGATTTGGCGGGGGAGCCATTGTGATGTGCTGTAGGTCTTTAGCTGGACTCATGCAGGACATTGCCGTGGGATCCAGGCCCTCAGCTGGATTCTTTTGGTCTTTAGTGTGTGGACAGATTTCCTCTTTGTATATGACTCTTTAGGTGACTATTGTAAAATAATCCTATAAATTATGTGTCCTGTATTGTTTCCCTGGTAAACCACGACTCCAACAGAGGCCACACAGCACAGTGTGCCAGGGAGTGGCCAGAGCCAACCTCTATGAGAGTGCACACATGTGCCAGCGCAGGCTGGGGCTCCCCCAGCTGTAAGGTGGGACACTTGTGGGCACCATGGGACTTTGGGTTGCATCACAGAGCACATGGGGAAATGCTGTGGGGGGCACTTGGGGGACCATAGGGAGAGTTTTAGAAAGAACTGTGAGATACTCGTTGTATACCAGTGTTGAATCTCTTCAACTTGATGATTATTTTAACAAGACACTTTTTCTCAGAAGAACTTTCTTGAGCAGAAGGATTCAGAGGCAAAGGGCCACAGTATCTACAGCTTCCTCTCAGAATGCTCAGCAAGGGTGTGTAATATGTGAGCATGTATTTATGTACTAGCCCATCACGGGACACGCACATCCATGAGCCTGGAGGGGACAGGCGGGCACACAGCACTGGGAGACGGTGAGACCCAGGAGCAGCAGAGGAGACAATCAGGGTGGCACTGCACGGCGGCAGGTTGTGCAGTGGTGCAACTGGGAAGTTGTGGCCGGCTCTCAGGAAGAAGGACAAGCGGCAGCTGGCCATGTCTGCAGCCATGGTGTCTAGTGTCCACTCCCTGCAGGAGATCGGCTGTGTCCTTAGCGCTCCTCTGACTATGCTGTCCACCGGTGGTGTATTTCACTGGAATCAGTGCAACGGCACAGCCAGGGAGCACAGCCACTTAAGACAACAGAAAACCAACCATCTAATCTGTTGGTGATTTTTCCATAAATTCGCGGTTTTTCCGGGTGAAACGCAAGGTCTGGGCTACTCCGTCCTCTCTCAATCTCTGCTGGGTGCAGGGCCCTCAGGACAAGCGCCTGTCCTTCACTATCCTGGAATTCTGTCCCTCTGACACATAGTAGCGGTACCGGGCCTGGATCTGTGGCTCACGACCACCCTGAAGGAGGTGACTCAGCCCCTGTGACAAAGTGCCAGGCCTGTACCAGACACAGCGCTCCTCAGTGCTCATGAATCACGTCTCCTGATAAAGCAACCTGTCAGAGAAGCAACATGCGACAGAGGGGGAAAAAACTTTTTTCTTATCTCTTTCATTCGTCTTGCTACTCCCACCAGCAGTGACACCCAGTAGAAGGCACTGGACGTTTGTGTTCGTGTGAAACGTTCCCCCAAGAGTAAGAAGTGTCTCTGTTGTGGTTTTGTGTTTCTTCTTTGACACCATCAACTCTTTGGCATTCGCTTCTGCCCCACCCAGGACACAGCTGGCCCTGGGGCACGCTGGCGATTGTCCTGCTGAGGGGCCAGTGCCTGGCCTCACTGAGGGACCCTCGGGAAAAAGAGGCTTCTGGAGAGGACTCTAGCCACAGCCTATTCTCTGCCTGAATTCTTCTTCTCTGGGAAATAGACACTGGGCAGACTTGACCTGCTGGACATATAATGCTGATATACTTCTCTGGGTCTGCGTTTCCCAGCCAGGACACTTCCTGTCCTTGCAATCCCTTGTCCACAGCCCTCCAGTCTCCAACACAGGCAACACAGGAGTAGGCTAAGTTGGGCAGCTTCTCTCCAGGGCCCTATTCCAGGCAGGCCTGCTCCGACCCGAGCCCAGGCTTTGGTGGCCACATGGTTCCCTGCTGCCTGTGTCCTCTCTGTCCAGCGAGGAAGAGAACCAAACATCAGACTAAGGAAACAACATGAGGGAGCTCAGAAAGGAAGCTGAGGCAAGGATGCAACACAGGTGCTCTCCTGGCGAGTCCACCCCTGGGAAACTCAGGAACAGGAGCAGATCCCAGCCCAGGACAGACAGGGAACAGGGCCGGGTGGCTGTGAGCTCACACCCCAGCCCACCAGGGAGTGGGCTGGCTGGTTACAGCTCTGGACTTTGATAGAGGGGTCACTCTGGGTGAGGTTTATTAAATCCCTCAGTCTGGATACAGACTCAGAGAGTGTCACCATGTGCAAACACCCATTCAAGGTGTCCATCAGGGATAGAGGAGCAGAGCCCCAGTGTGATACCCAAGGGGAGAAGCAGGAGCAGACTGTGGGCTCTGATGTTCAGCCCTCAGTGGTCCCATTTGCCTGCCCCCACCACCAGGTCCTGGCCCCAGCGTCCAAGTGAGACAGCAGATCATTCGTGCCATGCCAGAGACTCCTGGCTACTGGCTTCTAGGACAGTGAGCCCCTGCCGCAGGCCTGTCCCTCTGCTGGCTCTGAGTCCTGGTCTAGGCAGAACTCAAGTCTTCTTGGGTCCCAAGAGTCCTCCAGCCAGTGTTCAGTGTCCTGGCCTCTGTCCCCAATCCTTCCATCTCCTTCCACCAGGGCTGCCATGATTCCCGGATCTGAGGTGTTGTCACCCATCCCCAAATTCCCTCCCTGAAGCTGGGGCTCAGCCACCACCACATGGGGCCATGGGAGCTAGAAATGGGGACAGACCCATGGACACCTGCCTTGCAGGTCACAAATACCCAGATTCCAAAGAACACACACACACACACACACACACACACACACACACTCAGTGTAAAGCGCCTCATTAAGAATCCCCCTGTATCATGAAGTGACATTTGGCGTAAAGGTTAAATAGACATTTTATTAACATGATCTCACCTGTTCTTTTTACTTTCCTGATGTATCTACCGGAAGTTGAAAGCCACATATGGTCAGTGTCCCTGTTCTGTGGAGGCCCCCCTAGATGTCCCCTCCAGGCTCAGCCACCTGTGCCTGTCTCTAGCCTGGACCGTATGGCTGCGAATAGTTCTTGGGAGATCTGTTGCCTGACTAATCACGAGTCCTTAAAGAGAATCCCTATCTTTTCTCAAGTAAAGGGGAGTCACTCTTGCTTGGCAAAGAAGTTCCTCAGGATAGGACAGGGCTTGGGTTTCCTGCACCTCTGAAATCATCTTCCTCATCCCAGGAGTCCCTGTCTTTGACCCCAGAGGCCCCTGACCTCAGAGTCCCTGGGAAGCCAAGACTATTCTGTCCCCTTTCCTGCAGAAATAGGGTTCTGAGTCACAGGATTTAGGGCCCAGAGAGTTCTGGAGAACAAGGAGCCCTAGCCTGGGGGAGCTCAGGAGAGGGTCATGTAAGTGGGTCAGAGGGGCAGGAGAGAGGAAGGGCATGGGAGGGGCACGAAGGGGACAAGGAGCAAGGAGGCTCCCAGCCTGGAGGAGTCAGGGACAAAGGAGGAGCAGCCAGCACTAGAGGAGACTGCAGAGGGGAGGGGCCAGGAAAGGAGGGGCTAGGCTGGGAGGCTGGGAGGGTAGCAGGGTGGGAAGGGGCTGGGGCCTCAGATGATAAAGCAGAGCCACTCCAGGCCAGCGCTATGACCTCTGGATCATTGCCCTCTGCATCCTACAGCTCCATCTTCGTGTCCTGCAGACATGGCCCTGCCCCTGCACATCCCTCTGCTTCTCCTGGCGGCCCTGGTCTTGAGCCTGGCCATGACCCCCACAGCCTTGAAGTCCTCCACAAAGAGGCTTCCTCTAGTGGGGGAAATGGAAGATGGAGACATCAATGACAAAGAGGTGCAGAATATAGTGGACTTCACCCTCCGGGAGTACAACAATGATAACAACGACCTGAACCTCAGCAGCTTGGTTCGGGTGTTGCGTGCCCGTCAGCAGGTGCGTGCTCACTGGGGTTAAGGAAGGCTTCAAAGAAAGTGCTGTCCTCCTGCATACCCTGCCACTCCCCTCCCTCTGCTTCCTGCCCTCCACACACCCCCAGTGCCATCTGAGTGGACTGCATGCTGTGTAGCCTGTGGCCTTGTCCAGGGATCCTCCCCAGGATGGACGACCCAGTATTTCTCACCCATCCGGTCCACGGTGTTTCTCTGTTCCTGCAGCCCTTGGTGGGCGTGTCCCTGAATTCCACACATGAAGCCTGGCCTAGACCCTAGCAGGCTCTGTGTCTGACACCTGACCTTTAGACCTGGTTCCAATCCCAGCTGGGACACCAGCTGCCAGGCCAGGGTCAGGGTCCCCTGGGTTAACGCCGACCACCTCCTTCTGGACCGGGATCCCAGTGAACTGTGAACCAAGTGAACACACAGCAGGTATGGGGACCCACTCCTGTTCCTTTCTCTCCCAAACTCCAACCCCTGTTCTTCAGCTCCCGGCTGGGTCACAACCTCAGATCTACTGAGTAGGCGCAGCAGGAGCAGAGAGCATCCTGGGCCCTGCCCCAGATCTTCTCACGATCACCCTTGGCCACGCGGGCCCTGCTCCTGGTACCCCATAGCATATGGAGCTGTGTGTGGGTTGCGTGGATTCTCCTGATCTTTGGAGTGCACCCTGAAGTGGACACTGCCCGCCCATGAGGACCTGCTTTCCAAGCTCAGGATGAGGCTGACTTCAGGAAGCCACACTCACTCAGTTGACACAGAGCCTCATGTGGTATAGCCAGTGTCCACTGAAAACTTTTCTAAGACCTGCAGCCTGTCCTGACTCAGCCTCCTCTCCCCTGGAGCAGCTGCTCTGTGCTCCTGATCTTGGCCTGTCAGAGTTCTCCCAGCTAGGTGCACAGTCCTGAGGCCCAGGTGGATCCTGGCAAGGACGGATGGGTTGTAAGGGCGTCCCTGTGGTGACACGGCTGTGATGTCGATGCTGCCTCTCCTTGTGTGTGTTCTCTATGACATCACACAGTGAACCCTTAAAGACCATAAAACAGTCCAGGAGGTCTCCACCATGAGCCTCAGTGGTTCCTGTGGGCAGCAGGATGCTTGTGAGGCAGGAAGTGGAGTTCTGTGGGTGGGGTCAGAAGTGCTTCATCTCAGATCACAGCTGTCCAGGAACAGTGTCCAGTGCGTCCTGTTGGGCACAAAGCCTGCTGGGGTGGACTCGCCCTGCCTCCTGATCAGAAAGTGCTGACTCAGAGCCCTGGCTGCTCCCCAAGTCGGCCTCCCCTCCCAGGGCCCAGATCAGAGAGTGCATCCCAGGCTCCTACCTGCCTGTTCCTTATTTCTGTCTTGCTTTGCTGCATGAGACTCCTCTCTGAAGCTCTTTGGAAAGGAACAGGTTGAACACAGGGCAGGGCCGTCCCACAGGCAGATGTGGTGCAGAGTGGGCTGGGATGGGTTTGGCCTGAGTCCTGGCAAGCACAGTGAGTCCAGTGAAGCCAGTGACTACAGCAGTGAGGTGGACGGAGCGCTGAGAGAGTCCTGCTCTTCTTCCCTAGGTGGTGGGCGGCATGAACTACTACTTGGACTTGGAGATCGGCAGAACCACATGTGTGAAGAACCGGTCCAACCAGGTCAACTGTCCCCTCAGTGAGGAGCCGGTATGAGCTTGAAGTGGGCAGGGGCAACACAAGTAGTGGGTGTGTTTGTGTGTGTGTATGTCTTTAGATATGAGATGGTTTGTGTGTGTATGTGTATGTGTGTGTGTGTAGGTACATATGGAAAGTTGCATGTGTGCACACATGTGAGTGATATGGAAGGTGAACTGTTCACATGTATACATCATACTCACATGTGCGCTGGTGGGGACATATGTGTGTGTGTGGAGTATAGTGGGCAGGTGAGTGTGGTGTGTGTGTGTGTGTGTGCACTTGTGAGGTAGCAGAGCAGGGCTGTGCACACAGTTGATTTGCATACTGAGTGTGACCCTGGGAAGTGGGGTCCTGGGAGGTGACACCTGCCTTTGGGGCGCTCCTGCTGGGCTGGAGGGGCAGCAGCAGGACTGGTGAGGAGGGAGAGGGCTCTGGGAGTCCCAGCTTCGCCCCAGCCACAGCCTGGCTGAGCAGGTCAGACCCAAGAGGGCCGAGACTCCACGCTGCCCTCAGCCTCAGCCTCTCCTGATGGCCGGGTCCCTGGAGGCCGCACTCTGGGGGCTGAGACCCTGTCTCCCTGCCCACCCCGCCTGTCTCTGGGTCCCCAGGGCTGGGTCTCCCCTGGGTGCCTCTCAGCACTGCCCTGGGCTGAGGTTGAGGCTCTGGAGCAGTGAGCACCTGCCCTGCCTGCACTGTCTGGGCTCCTGGCCCTGCAGGGTTGCTCCCTGGGGGCCATGGGGAACAAGGATCTGGGATCCCTGAGCTGGGGACAATGCCATGCGGGGACTTCCCCTCCACCACTCTTCCTTCACTCCTCCTCTCTGATGTCCATGGCCAGGCGTCCTCCTTCTCTCCTGAAGCCATACTCACCACCCCTCTCTCTTCCTTTGGCAGACGCAGCTCTGCTCCTTCGTGGTCTACTCCAGGTCCTGGGAGGACTACACAGTCCTGACAAAGTCCAGATGTCGCAAGGCTTGAGGTTCCGTCTTGGCCAGGAACAACAACCACCACTTACCCATGTCCCCTGCAGGGTCCCCAACACAGTGATGGAGCCCAGCCCTGGTGCAGTCTCCTTGGTGCCCCAGCACCCAGGCTCCAGTTCAGCAGGCTTCTCTGGGCAACATGGACTCCCACCAGGTGTCCTCTTCCTTTCTCCTGTGCTTCACAACCACACCTATGGGGGGCGCACAGGCCGCCCCTGCCTTGCTCAATAAAAATCTGCACCAGCTCCAGCTGTGTCCACCCTCCTGTCCACTCCCTCCAGCAGTCTGCAAAGCTCTGGCACTGCCCTGGGGACCAGGCTTAGAGAAGGTGACCCAGTCAGCCAGGCAGGGTGCCAACTCCATCCCAGCCTCAGTGACCATCTGAGCAGGGCCACTGGCGAAGGTCCTGCCTTGGGGCTCCTGTGGCTTGTAGTGGGGTTTTATTTGACTACAGGCTGAGAGTCCCTTATGCAAAGTGCGTGGGACCAGAATGCTCCAGGTCTCAGCAATCTGTGGGGTTGTGGGAAATCTCCACACACTTGATGAGATTTCCTGGGGATAGGACCCACGTCTGAGCACCTTGTTCACGCACCCTGAACCTAATTGTTATAGTATGATTCATTACAGGAAGAAAGCTTGAATTGGAATGTCAGAGGGAGGACAGGAAAGGACAGCTTAGGTGACTGGAGGGGTCACTCTAATACAGGGGTTCAGGCCGGCCCTCTACACAAGTGGGAGGCTGCTGTCAATGACTGGCTTTTGGGCTGGGGTCCAGGTGCTCAGTGTTTCATCATTTCAGTCATAGTTCTGGGATCTTGAAGGCTGAGGGATGGTTTTCTTTCCAGAAAAGGACTCTGAGTCCATGGGGGTCTCAGGTACCTGGGGCTGCCCCTTCCCTGGAATCCAGGTGATCACAGATTCAGGACAGTGGCTAGAGGCTTCTGGGAGTAGCTGAACATCCCTGTCAACTTCTTACCTTGTGTCCTCAGTCTTGAAGGAGATGAGACCTTCTGAATTCAGGGCTGATCAATCCTCTCCAGCATAAATGACCACCAGGCCCCACATAGAGCTGAAAAGAGATCTGACTCAGGGTTTACAGTGACAAGGCCATAAACAATGGTCAAGCTGTGTTCTGCTGTTAGTCACTTATTGGGCATCTGCAGCCCATGTAAAATGCCATGGATCATGGCAAAAATGGCATTTAATGTCTCAGAGAAGAACGCATAGCACACTGGTAATGAACAGGTAGCCAGCGCCTTAGCCTGGGTCTTCTGTTTCTGGATACCCACAAGGTCAGTTGCACTAGTCTCCATATGGGCAGCAGGGCTCCTCCTGCTGTTATTCTTCCTGGGCACTTGGGGTCTGTGTCAGATCCCATCCACCTCACAGGGCAGAGCTTGTCTCCCCAAAGTGCTTTTCAGGTTGTCTGTTAAAAATCATAACCTTGAGGAATGTGGACAGACCACACTTCCAAATCTTACAAGGAATATCCAAAACAAAGACACCAAGAGCAAAATAGGATAATCATATAAGAAACATAATTCATAATTCAGTCTTGTCAGAATTAGAGCCCTTTAAGTAGAACATATTTGCTTCCAAATGTGACTCATTTGTTTGATAAATTATTGAGTTACAGTCAATACATGTAGACCATAATTAAAATGGCAGTGTTGTCCATGTGGAAGTTTCCTCACCTGAATGGTACTGAATAGCATCAGAAACATTAGGTTCTACCGACCATGTTATAAGTGTCAGGTCCAGATGCCCGTGTGTGTTGGGTAACACAGCCCTTACTGGCTACTGTGCACGTGTCATTAGTTTCACAGCCTTTGCACATTCTCGCAGTATACATAGCCCTTGCATTCTACACCTGTAGTTTCTAACATAAGAACTGGCAATATACTATAATTACCTAAAATAACAGATATTCGTTTGAGCAGAGTTGTAAACTGATCATTTAGACAAACCCTCACTGTGTTGCACATCATTTTCCTAAGTAATCAAATCCTAGGAACAGAAAACAGAAGAAATTATCTTGATAAAATACAGACCTTTGTTTCTCAGGGAAGTTTCTCTAAAATTATAGTAAGAGTGAATCAACATTTTAAAGAAAACATTGATTTATGTATACAATTGGGTTTCACACTGATGTTACAAACTTTGATTTATAAAAATTCTAAGTTTTGTAATTATTGCCAAACTTCCCATGCTTCGAAATTTTCTCTCACAAAATTTGTTCCTCACAAACTTTCTTGTTTGTAGTTTAAAAAATTTATTTGATACATTTTAGATATACATAATGATAACATTCATCATAGGAAATCTGTACCTGTACATGACATATCTTGGTTCTTTTTTCCCATTCCCCTCCCCTCCCTTCAATCCTTCTTCCCCTCCTTGTTTACAAAAGCTTTATTTCCTTCTCTTCTCTTTTTTCTTGTCCCTTCCTTTACCCTCCACCCTAGTTCCTCTTCCCATTTGGACATTTTCTTCCCATTTCCCAATATCTATTATATACTTTGGTCCTTATTTACACATTTGGTTTCCCATACCAGACAAACAATGTAGTATTTAAACATGTGTGTCCAATTTATTTTACTAAGAATATGGTCTCAAGGTGCATCCATTTAAGTAAAAAATCTCTCAGGCTTATACTTCTTTATGGCAGAGTAGTTTCCATTGTATTTAAAAAAAAAAACACACACACACACATCTTCTTTATCTTTTCATTGGTTGATGGGCATTTGGCTCATTTCCAAGATATAGCCATTACAAATTGTGCTGCTATAAACATGTGTTTGCATATATTGCTGTGGTATGATGCTTCTAATTCTTTCCGGAAGATACCAAGAAGGGAAATAGCTAGGTCAAATGGAACCTCTAGTTTTAGGTTTTCAGGAATCTCCACACTAATTTCCACAGTGGTTGCACCAGTCCACACTCCAATCAACGATGGAGAAGTGTCCCTTTCCCCCCGTATCCCTGTCAGCATTTGTTATTGGTTGATTTCTTGGTAATAGCTGTTCTTTCTGGAGTGAGATGGAATTTCAACATTGTTTTAACTTGTATTTCTTTTTTTTTATTTTAAAGAATAAAAGAAGGATAACATAATAATAGGGGGGACTTAGCAAATTACAGACAAAATGGTAGGAAATTATCAATTGTTATCGTTTTACATATTATTATCTACAAAATAGTTTCTCAGGAAAACAAATAGACAAATAATAGTGAGTTAGAGACAAAAGAGGTAGG